GCCACCGCGGTAGCATAAGAAACTAGGGGGAGAGTGGCTGAGGACCCGATCGCTGGAGTTAGAGGCGTAGAATTCTTTTCCGGAACCCCAGCCGTCCCAGATTTGTCTGTCGCACCCTCAACATCCATATGCGTTGACGATTCCGTTATGGCGACCAACATCTTTCCTTCGTTGAGCGTAGTCTCCGTTGGGGCCAGAGGATCCGGCGGCCGCCTTTGGAGGGTGACACTCGTCGCCGGAGAAAACAGAACAGGGGGGTTCGTCGAGAGCATATTTCTCTCTTTACCCACTTACCCACATTCATAAACAATAATTTAGCTCATTGTACATGTCAAATATATATATATGATTTTTCTCAAGAACACATTCACTCTTCCAAATGACTCTAAATAAATTGGTCAATTTAACGACTTTTTATATTAGCCGTCATTTAAACTCTAATGTTGTCAATAAATCGTTTGTTGAATTTTGAATGTTAACAAAACAATTATTCCTGTCTATTATTGTCTTTTTTCCCCCTCCAAAATGTCCATATTAGCGCACAACCAGCTATCAAAGGGTGGAAGTGATTATGACATTTTCGAATAATATAGATTGAAATTAGGTTGAGTAATCGTTTTGTTTTCGGTTGGAATTAGGCTAAAGTATCAACAACTTTCAATCTCATATGGAGGCCGCCTTTCAATTTCATGAGGAATAATAATGCAAACGGTTGAAATCGGATAACTTCATTCTTGTGATATTGTCTGCTTTGAGTCAAGGCTGCATATATTTACTTCCGGATAACCAAACTCTGATCCACTTGTTAAAATTCGAAAGTTCAATTAGTACGATATTGTCTGATTTAGTCTAAATTCTAAACCCGCAAGAATTTACTTTTGGTATCCTCCCAAAAGACTTGGGTACTATTACTAATGACTAACACGGCGACGTTTACTGATTGGGCTAGGTGACCCTGAGTTGAAGACTCGAACTGTCATTTATTGTCTCCGCCGGCGGGAAAGAATCGTTTTCTAGCCTTTTCCTTATTCACATAAAGCTCCAACTCCGGCAACACGAAAACAAAAAAACAGAAGCGAAGCAGCTAAGCTCTTGCATAGAGGGTTAGTGCAGTAGGCTGCGATGGATTTTGAAACAAACTACGAGATTGAAGATACTGCGGATTTCATTCACCGCCGCAACTTCTCCAGGGTTGCTTTGCAGGTAATGCCCGGCGTCGCCTCTGCTAAACCCTTCTTAAATTGATTCTCGTTAGTTGTTATCTATCATATACCCACTTAGATTAATGTCTGAATAATCATTAGTTTCAATCTTGGAAGACTTGGTTGTTAATAAGATGGACTTTTTTTTAATGAATTTGCAGTTCCCCGACGAGTTGTTGAAGGATTCTATGAGAGTGGTGGGTGCTTTGAGGGACAAGCTTCAGTTACTGAAAGGATCAGGCTCTGAAGCACAACGAGATGGTGCTAAGGAGGTTAGACTCTTTGTAATGGCAGATGCAACTTATGGAAGTTGCTGTGTGGATGAAGTTGGTGCGTCGCATAGCGATGGTGAATGCGTCATTCATTATGGACATACGTGTCTCAGCCCGTAAGCTATTTACTGGTTCAAATTCTGGATCTTTACGTTCACTCACACCGTATATTATTCAATCAAAGCCAAAGAAGTTTCAATACTGCTTCGAGAAGTTTGAGAGTGTGTTGAATGTTTATGTCTCTCTACCTTCCACTGCATCACTTCTATATTGTGCATACGCCCTTATAGTCGACCTATGGCTTTGAAAAAGAATGAGTGAGATAGCAAGGTATTTACTTTATTGGCAGGAGCTCAACCCTTCCAGCGTTCTTTGTTCTCGGAAAGGCTTCAGTTGATGCTACGAAGTTTGCTGAAAGTTTCTCAAATTATGCATCAACTAGTGGAAAACCGGTTCTGGTACGTTGAGCGATATGTTACCTATTTGTTTCTTTGAAAATTAAATCTGCACCAGTTGATGACTGAGTCTATGGAAGTGGATGATTCGCTCAGTTAATTGTAAGAATATGCTTGTGATTTTTGCATGGTCAAGGTGATGGGACAAAGCCTCTTTTGAGATAATTAAACAATAGAAAAGGATCTTTGGGAAAATGTTTTTATCCATAATAGCCAAACCCAGCTTCCATAATCATGTAAGATGACAACCCGAGGATAGTCCTGTAGCGGGAGTCTTTCTGATTCCTTTGAGTTCCATTAAGAGAGGCTTGCCACGCAGTTCCCCTATTGGATGCTTGTATTTTGGAGGAGAATGCCCGGATGCCCCCAAATCCTTTCTTACAACTATTTAGCTTCAAGTTCAACAACATCCAATGAGTGAATGCTATGTATCCTTATTAATCAAGATTCAAAAGCTGCAGTTTTCTTGATATGCAACTGTAATTTGTTCTGTAATATTTGTGGGTGTTGTTTTTGTTCCTGATGTAGGTACTGTACGGTCTAGAGTATGCACATGCTATCCCACATATCCGGGAGGTAGTTGTTGCATTATCATCATCATCAACTGTGTCCAACCCCACTTGTGAATATCTCTTTGCTGATGTTGCATCTCGAGTAACCGATCCCCCAAAGGAATGTGAAAATTCTGAGAAGACCCTGAGACCAGACTGTGATTGTGATACTAGTTGTGAGGGTGTCACACCTGGTTTTATAGGTAGCATTGGAGGTCTGGTCTGGAGTCTACCCAAAGGATGTAAGATGGAGGATTACTCTCTCTTCTGGATTGGCTCTGACAATTCAGCATTTGCAAATGCAGTACTGACATTCAATGGGTGTGAAATAGGTAACGAGTTGAAGGTGCTTCACTTTAATTATAATTTATTATTGGTTTAACCTGTTATTTATCCAAAGGGTCATTAATTTCTTGCAATTTGTATGATGTCTCATCAAGGAATACTGACTCTAGTCTGCTGATACTGGTTTTTAGTCAGATATGATGTGGAACAAGGTTGCTTGATGACAGATTTATCTGCGCAAAGAAAGATACTCAAGAGAAGGTAGTCTGCATTACAAGACATTTCTGCTTCATTTTTTTTTTTTTGCTTCCCTCTCATCACCTAAATCTTCATATGTACTTTTGTACCATGTCATTTTTCGTCTGTTTTCCTCCATCTTTTTTACTTAGTAGCATCTTCTTCTCGTATGATTGATTGTTGTTCTATAGATATTACCTGGTGGAGAAGGCAAAAGATGCCAACATTGTTGGGATACTGGTTGGAACTCTTGGAGTAGGTATGCCACCTATACTCTATAATTTTCATTGGTTTTGGCCTTTTTCTTTCCCATACTCTTCGGCTCTTCCTGTCTCATAGACTTGGAATTCTACTTCTTCTCTCTGGAGCTGGTAATGCAATCATTTTTGTTTATACAATGAATGCTTTCAGTTTTTTCTTCATGTTCATCAAAAGCTCTTGAACGGTTAATCATTAGATTTTTCCTTTTAATTTCAATGCAGCTGGTTACCTCAACATGATTCGTCAAATGAAGGACTTAATAACTGCTGCAGGAAAGAAGGCTTACACTTTCGTAATGGGTCGACCCAATCCTGCAAAACTTGCCAACTTCCCTGAGGTGATTACTTCACTTCAGTTATGTAGGATGAGAAAGTCGCCCGGTTTTTTGTCTTTGGTTTGACTAAACTAAACGTTCCGCGTTCAAACATTGATGTTTTTGGCATTCTCCCAGTGTGATGTATTCGTGTATGTCTCCTGTCCTCAAACTGCTCTTCTGGACAGTAAAGAGTTCTTAGCTCCAGTCATTACTCCATTTGAAGCCATGCTGAGTTTTAGCAGGTTGGTAACAGTCTCTTGCTTTAAGATACAACCCACATCATTAGAATCTTTGTGTATGAGTTTCACGCATGTATTCAAGATTCTGATGTTCTCTTCCCTCCCTGAACATCAATTACTCCCAGGGGACTGGAATGGACCGGAGCATATGTTACGAAATTCTGGGATTTGATTGATTCCCCTCTACCAGATGTAAGACATGAAGATCCTGAAGAGGCCCGCTTCTCACTCATTCAAGGTAGATACGTCGAGGACTTCAGTTCCAAAGGTAAGTTTCTCGGTGGCTTCAGTTGGATCAGCATGATATCCCTGTTTATATAATTCCCTCGCATTATGAGTGATTTGCTTACTGAAAAATGCAGTGAACTTGGAAGAGGAAGAAGAGAATGGAAGGGTTGTTGCTCTATCAACCACAATGGAGAAGGCTCTACAACTGCGAGACAAAAATACTACAATGATAACCAGCAATGGGAAGGTAGCTACATCAGGCGCAGAATATTTTGCCACCCGAAGAACTTATCACGGCCTGGACATGTACCACGACAGTGGTTCTACAGTGGAGCCGTTCTTGATTGGCAGAAGCGGGAAGGCATCTGGTTATGAAGGCGAGAGAAACAAGCCTGATACTGAAGTTGAGATTTAGCAAAGAAGTTTTGGTGGTGCGTCCTTGTATAGTTGCAGCCCAGCAAGATGGCCACTGGAAGAAACGAGCGAACTTTTGTTGACAGCAATTCTGGATCCCCCAACTTTCACATTACATAGACTTCTATCCCAGACTCCAATGGTTTAAGGAAGTGGCCGTGGTGAAGAAGTAAAGATTCATGGTTGAGCTCCTTATCTGTAAATGCTGAATTCATACACCTAAGATTAGGGAGGGAGCTTGGTTGAGATAAACTGAAAAAGGGACTCATGGCAGAGTTGATCGGAAGCAAGTAGTAATGGTGGGTGGTGGGCTGGTGGCACTGTGGTGGAAAAATGCTCGAGGAATCGCCTTGTGTTGCAGCAAAGAGGGAGAAGCTGGAAGGTAGCATCGAGCTGCTTAGGTACTGTAAAAGGGTAGTAGCTTTGGTTTTGAGGAGAACATGGGCGGTGTAGTGAAGACTTGTGCCTATAATATTGTTTATCTATTTAATGATCAGGCGATGAACAGTATCGAAAGAAAATATACAGCTTAACGGCAAATTAAGAACAACTGATTTAGTTTAGTTGAGAAGAGAATTAGGTAAGACTATAACACAGATGCCCACAACTAAGTGATGCTAAGCACTCTTGTCTACAGGTTAGTATGTATGGTTGAACAGACTGAACATGGATCGAACAAAACTGAGTTAACTGGATAATTTATTCAGACGTTACAGCTAACAAATCAGGAAATAATCAAACCAAAAACCAAACGGTACAATGAGGCTATTGGTCACATCTCTATGTCGTCAAGGTCCGGTAGGGGGAACCGGAGGATTGCAGCAATGCCAGTCAGCTGTGCCAATTCTGTTTCAAGAATTTCGAAGAACGACCAGACTAAGCAATCAATTCGTCATTGTAGAATGAACATGCATAAGGGCTATGTTTTTAGAACACTTACGCTCTCCTGAGGAGTGCATAGTGGAAAATATATGAGCTTTGCCTCCAGAACCCTTTACTGACTTGACCAGATCTACATACTTCCGTCTAGTTGGTACGTCCGCATTCCTGCAAAGAATTACCCAAAGGTGATTAAGAAGCAACACTTAACCACGTATTTGTTTACCTCCACGAAGAAATTTTTCTTTAATGGGATCTAAATGCCTGACAATTGACACTACTACTTCAGTCAGACGGACAGTCACCTGAAGAGATCATCTGTTAAGAGAAGAGTTTGCACAGCTAGGCGATCATTAGCGACCTCCACATGTTTTGGCCCATAGCATGCTCGATCGGGATCCTGAAATCGAAAGGCCATAAAATTAGAAAGAAAAAAGGAGGGCATACTTGACCTTCACGGGTAACATTTGGCTTACATCAAAATATAACAAAAAAGGTTATTAAATCTCAAGAGTGGACCCTCACGTTTGAGAGCATGTCATAGAAATCCTTCAGAACCCGAACCTGGAAGTAGGGGACAACAAAAAATGACATAATTACAGCACTATTTGACGGAATGATAACTGCAGAAATACAGAGTTCCAACCGCAAAGGCATGCTGGCAAAACTACCTCTTCTGCTGCTTTAGTATCTTTAATAATATTCATGACACTTGGTGCATCAAGTACTTCTCGCAAACTATGCCTGCGTGAAGAGTACCCGGGGGTGGGGTTAGATTAAGGACTAGCAAGAACCCGAAACAGAAGCAACACAGCAGACAGGCTGTATTAGAAACACAGGGTACATGTGTTGCTTCAGAACAACCTGTAAGAGAAAGGAACCTACTTGTATCCAGAAGATGTGTGCACAAGGATTATCTTGGACTTATTCTCAATAATGGGTCTCAACTCTTTTTTCTCTGCCTCTAGCAACAGATAACGATGAAATTGGTCCTGAAGCAAATTAACAAAATTCCAGAGTTCAAACATGTCAAAAATTGACTGCATCTAATTGTAACAAGAAACTGGACACTCTTAATTTTGATTCAAGTTTGAAGGCAAGTGTACCTTTGTGAAACCAGGACTTCCAATCACAGCACACCGAACAACATTGAAGTCAACATGTTTCAGGAAAGCCTGCAATACAAAAGCAGTTCTACCATCATGGCATTACTTAATTGGCAATCAGAATGGGAGCTTATAGATTTATTAATGTTGTTTGGAGTGAAAAAGGACCATGCATTGCAATTTGCAAGGCTGTAAGAACTTACCTGTAAAACATTCTGGAAAAACTTATTTAGTGCCTGAGAGAAAAGAAAATCATAGTTATATTAGGGTTCCTAATAACTCAAAAGCCAACTAGAAAAATTGAAACAAAAAAACTGAACTAGTTCCTTTTCCCCAATACAAAGCAGTAGCATACCGAGTCATAACCGGCAATTGCAGGTCCATGCTTTCGAGGAATTGAAGTTTCTATCCGTGCACGTGAAGTTGTGACACTGTATATTAGGCCCCACATAACCAATAGTCAGTTCGCAAAGAAATTAAAAGAAAAAAGAAGCTATTGTGAAGTTGGCTTGCAAAAGATTAATTGTGAAGTTTCACGAACATAAGAAAGTGGTTACTAATTCATAGTTAACGAACAAGCAGAATACATATTTGTACCTTCTGCCAACTAGGAAAATTTGTGCTAATCCTTCTTGCATTAGAAGAACAGCGAGATCAGCACTTGCTGTAGGATCTAGGAGATCACAGAAAAGATAGGCAAACTCTACTCAGCTCATGTACGGGAGTTACTTTTAAAAGTTACAAAGGACAAAAATCACATCAAGGCCGGAGTCTAGACACAGAACTCCTCCAAGGTTCTATCCAATCATTAAAAGTAGGAAGCCAGGATAGATAACTATAAAGGTTGATTTTCCATGGAATAAAGAATAAACAAGTCATAGAGATAGCAATTACAAGTTATTATATCAAACAAGGATGCCAAAAGAAATTTAAAAGAGAATAGTCAGTACGTATATACAGACTATGCACCCAAGTGATACAAATTTGGAAGCCATTGAACATTTCTACCATGGCTATCTAATACTAGTATTATTATTATAATCAGGGAAAAAAAGAGTGATAGCAACTATCAAGTAGCTATTGAGCATATCAACAACAAAGAATACGTTACTATATCCGTAGTCATCCTAAGTTCATCTTGGTTCTTGCAATCATGGAATTGTAGAGCGGGTGAACTAGCAACATACTGTTCGAATGTAGATGCACTGCAGTATCACAAATGATGAACTAGACAAAAAGGAAAATTACCACAAAGGATTTCCTAACAAGTAACTTCCATGTTTCAAGTAAAGTTATCGCTGTGTAATAAGATTAATACAACGTACCTGAGGCTTGCTTGAGTACCTCCAGTGCCAATGAATCCCAAACTTGCTGGAACACAGTATTTGAAAGCCGTAAGTCAGTAACATATGATGCAATCAGGCAGGAGGTTGAAACCAAATGAGAAACCCGATCCCACTACAATAAAACACATCAACAGCATTCCCATTGATACTTAATTTGTACGAGCAGGGACAATATGAGCACATCTTGACCACTTCTAACACAGTTCCGATTTTATTTTGAGTTTTTAACTACGATGCTGGTAACTGTATACAGCAGTGAAAAGGAAGCCACAAATCGCAACCAGGATCTCCAAAGACTAGGATAGACAATATCAGAAAAGCTCCAGAAGAGTCAAGAGACTTCAAACATTCTTCCACAATTGCTTTTCTCAAATCATACATTGAAAAAGAAAAGGAATATCATTTGGACATAGAAAAGAATCAAAGCCATACTTTTCTCAAAACAAAGGGCCGATGCAGCTCAAGTTCCAGAGTGTGGAATTGACCAATCTGCAGGAATCCATTATCAGTACCTCGTCAGACTAAAATCACACCACTGAGGCCATTAAAGGACACCAATGAAGCTACTTGCACATACCTTCACATGTTCATTCTCTAGGATATTCTTTCCCCGGATTCGTAAGACGCCCCCTTCTTTATCATACTCAATGCCCTTAATACCAAAACAAGAAACCGGGGAAGAAAGGGAAACTCTTGTTATATAGGGATACATACACCAGACCCACCATTAAAGACCAGGGAAACTCGTTACAATACCTCAACTCTGACTTCCAACTTGAGCTTCACACGCTCAGCATCTCTACTACCGGATGCCATCTCCCTCAATACCTTCCTAAAGAAAGCAAACGCCAAATAAGTTTCAAACTTTCATTGCTGAAACCTTTTATCTTCCTTCCTTAGAAATCAGGAAAGGAGGGGGCGAAGGAAACTACCTGACAGTAACGGCCATAACAGAATCTCCAGGAAGAATTAGATTGTAAGCAAACCAGAGATCATCTGAATCCACAGGCGTCATCTACACACCACCGCAACCAATTCCGTTCCCACGAGAACATCTCAGGTAACAATAGAGCAAAAATTGAAACGAACGAGCAGATTGAGCCGGAAGATGCTGAAAACGGCCCCTAATAATTATACCTTGACGCTACCCGGGCCGTTGTGTGTGTAATCTCTCCTGACGATTTTCATGGCGAGAAGGTACAGCAGTTCCGAGCCAGGGGCTATGTACCGGCAGCCAGGGCGACGCCGCCGGAGTCGAAAGACGGCGACGGAGAGCTTATATTGGAGTTAGGGATTGCGGGATTGATGAAGAAGGAGCGACGGAGGGGAGAAGTGGAAAAAATCGATTGGTGTAATGCGAAGTGCCAGAAAATTGGCCCTTCTTCTACTGTATTTCCATTTTCCATATTGTTTCTGGATTCTCACTTTACCTTTTCCTCCGTCGTATAGGCAAAGGAATTTATTAATACGCTCTTACGTTCCTCGAAACGAAAACCTTTCTATTTCATTACCATATTATATTAGGTGGGAGAGTTTGATTTTCATGTATACGTGTAGTGAACATTGAGGTATATTTTATGGTTCATGTTGTTGAGCATTGATGTAACTATTTAATTTGGTAAGTTCTCCATGAATACTATAGAAAAGTATTTAATGTATGACAAACAACGTCCAACTACACTAACATAAATACATATTTTCAAACAAAGTCATATCTATATAAAAATGTCTAAGAAGAACAATGATAAGAGTTGTTTTACATCATACATGCATAATCAATCTTCAGTATACGATAAAAAATTTGTCTTTTCCATTTACTTGAGTGTATTCAATGATACAATGAAACAAAGTATATGTTTAGAGTGTCCTTAAAAAGAAACAAACTAACAAACACAGTCATGGTTCGAGTGACATTTCATATAGAAAGCTAAATCAAACCGAAAAGAAGGCAAAAACTAAAAGCATCATACCTAACATTTTGGGGGAAATCCACAATAATAAAAGTCATTGTAGCTCTTACTGAAGTTAGAAAGACTTTGATTTAATGGTAAGTAAACAATGATACGTAGTGCTTAAGAGGGAAGATGAGACCTTATATTGTTTATTAATATGCATCTTAGTTTCATAATTTTTACATCATTAAAAATTTATTTGTTGAATAGAAACCCATCCATGTTTGGAGCCATTGTAAAATGTAAGTTATGAGGCAAATGAGAAGTCTCAAGCATCCACATGCTTGAAAAAATAAATCTATATTATCAAAGATAAAAATCATATCTTGCTTAAGAAAAAGAATACTAAATTAAACCCAATGTAAAAGTAACGATGAAAATAGATATTATATCCACCTAAGGAATAATAAAGTAAATCATGTTTCTTAGAGACCTCTCTCGATAGAACCGCTCTATTATAAACCCATTTCGTCAAACAATTGTATCGTATAGAGTTTTAACTTAAATTGAAGTGCTGATAATTAGCTATTTCAGCTCATGAATGAATTAATTATATCATTTGGTAAAAGAAAATAATTTATAAACTTGAGAGTTATTTAGTTTGTTGTTAAATCATTTGAACTAAAGTATGAAAGTGCTTTAGAACTGTTATATTATTCATTATTATTAAAAATTACTATTTTATTATATTGTCTAAGCATGTCTAGGCGATCTAGGAGATAGACAAATGCCCAATGACCGCGTTACGCCTAACGTGCTACTGAACCTCAATAATTATAGCAAACTTTGAGTGCATCTTATAAATTTGATCACTTCTATTTTGGTAAAATTGATTACATCATGAAAGCGATCAATCAAAGAGTCTTTCTATACGATTTTGATAAGATGTCCCCCTACTGCACAATTAGTATGACTAAATCGTAATAAGATAATCATGTATTGAATTTTGAATCGAAAGCGCAAAAGATTGTACTAACTCAAGTAGAGTTTTAGCTACTCAGTACTTCATATTCACATGTAGATAGCTACTTCAAAGAGTTCGAATGTTGATTGAGTTTGTTGAACTTTACCTAACAAAACTATGATATCAATCGCAATATATGATGCTTTTTAGAGAAATTGGGAGAATATGTTGGTGACATCAAACCTAACATGGATACCGTTGGATTTAAGTGATAAGCAACATTTATGGTCAATAGATTAGACATGAAAAATATATTTAGCATTCCCATAAATTGGTAGGAAGTAGTGAATAATTAGGAATTGAAAGTTAGAAACAAATTGATTTAATAAATAACTGCAAATGATAATGTGTAAAAAAAAAACAAATGCTTAAAGCATAGCTAGGCATGAGAGTGCTACATTAAATCCTCAAAGAGAAAGCAAGTAACCATTAATAGTTAGTTGTAGATGTTAAAATAGTTAACTATGATGAATACTATGTACGGGTGATTAATACTTGGAACTTAGCTTGAACATTGCATCATGCTGATAAAAATTATTCCATTATTACATTATTGAAATAAGGGGTCGTATGGAAGTCTTGATTATTTTTGTGAGATTGTTAAATAAATACATATTTCATAATATAATACATATGCTTTTATTTTTTCATACACAATCGTGAATTATTTGCTTGATTTAACTAAACTATCACTCAAATTGAATGATTAAACAATTTCGAATTTTAGCATAGACTGTCGAGATAATTGGTATCGGTGTTTGACTTGTTTATTTTTCTTGAAATATATGGTACCACTGTTCTTATGCCATCATTGAACACTTCATCAACACTTCAATTCAATGCGCAATATTCCAACCAATGGTATTTGTGTTGAGATTATAAATTATCCTTCATTTATAAATTAGGAAAAATTCTAAATTAATTATTAAAATATAAAAATAGAAGTATCAAACACCACAAAATACTTACAGGAGACTTAGCGGGCTAACTAACCGTGATAGAAAAGTACTCTGTTTTTCATAATTTTTAACTTCCTTTATGTTTTGTATTAATAAAGTACAACAAATGTGTCTAGTCTAATTGGTTACAATTCTTGTCTTTAATGAAAGACCATGGTTCAAATCTTAGTATTGATATCTTTTTATATGAAATAAAAAATTGATTGTGTAGACGAAAATATCCTTCCTACTTTCACTCTCGTTGCAGGAAATTTGAAATGGAGCAAATCAACCTCTTTAAAAATGTACTAGCTTTTACCCGACCCGTTGGTCGGATGAATTTTGTATTATATTTTGTTGTTTTGTATTAACCAATTTGCATGTTTTCAAAAAATTTACAGTCTTTTAAATAGTTTATTCATAAAGGGAAAATAATATTTGTGTTACTTTTGAATTTTATATTAGTAAGTAATTAGTTCTGGTGATGTGGCCATCCTAGGTTACTGGTATCTATATTTTTTTATATTTTAGAAGAAAATTTTATACATTTTTACATTCAATATAAATTGCTTAAATTGTTTTTATTTATAAGATTTGTTATTATCGATGTACGGATCCATACCTCTTGAATTCCAAAAAAAAACATGTAAAATTTCTAAAGTGAATATAAAAAAGAACAAAATGCTACCGGTTATATTTCATATTCGCTACCACACACGGTGAAAGAACCTGGAAAAAAAAAGTCACTGTAGGTCAATTTAATTTTGTTATTAGGCAATTTATCAGTGAAAAGAGAATGAGCCCCGACAATAAAAACTATAGGTTAGCACAATTGTTTGAGCCCAAATTAGATGAATAAAGCAGACAACTCTGAGTTCTCAAAGAGAGCTTTCACAAATATCTAAGGCTAGCAGTTTCAGTAATAGAAAATATATGTGCACATCAAAACTCATCGCAACTTTCAGTTCCAGCCCTAGCCCGCCAAAATATTGATCTTTCCTTCTCCTTCTTTTGCTGCAGCATTTCAATTCACATTCTAAAAATAGAAACATCAGCAGAATCAAGGCTATTTGTATTAAATGTTACGTTATGGGGTCTGATTCATCGGCAGGGTGGCTGACCACCTTATTGCCGAAAAACTTGGCAACTTCCCAACCAATTCACCGCTTTCGGTCAAGCGCTCACATCATCCATCATTTATCTATCTAACTCTTAACATATTTGGTTTCTGATCTGGCCATGGCCGGTGAAATGAAGATGTTGAGTTTTGTATCTTGCCCATGGTTGGAACTTGGAAGTGATGGTGGCGGTGGCGGAACATTGGGTGTGATGGGAAGCATTTGTAATTAGGAAATGCACCCAGACCCCAGTTGACTATCTTGGCTGTGAAAGTAAAAATAAATTTGTGAACAAAAATAGGTGCATATGTACCCAAAAGAGGGGTAAAATATCAGTTAAAGACTACATCATTACTAAGTCATGATTGAGGAATTAGCATCCACACGAAGTTGGAATCGTCGAAGATTACAACTGGGTGTCTAAAGTGCAAATATAGTAACAACGGGGGAATAACCAAAATCAGCAAGTGTTTGGCTGAAAAACCACAGTGATTTCCATTAAAATTTCTCAGGTAAATTGGTGACATGATTGTCTGTAACTGAAATTGGTTTGGTATATTTAAAGGTTCTACTATGAAATAATAGCAAGAGATCCCTCAAGAGATCTTGTATCAATGATGAAAATGAGGTAACGATTCTTGTCATATGAACATATAAAACATCAACGAAAGGAGGCATACTGAAAGCATAGTGGAAGATAAGTTGAACAGAATGAGAACAAACTGTAAACTTGTCGTTGTTGAATATTAAGAGGCATATTAGAACAAAGTTACTAACTGGGCATTGATAAAGAACAATTAGTCTAGGCACGTACCAGCGTAGTTTTGATAATAATGAAACATCTTTGTTGGTGATATAGCAAAGGAGCTTTGTGTTTCACTAATGTCGAAGCGGTGGGAACTGGGAAGACACTACAAAGCATGTTTGGAGTCGGAAACCATGCATAGTCCTTTTTGTTAATGAGAAATTGCAGGCCATGTCAACAATGACAGAGAAAATAATTAGGAAAAACAAACCAAGTTATTACAAAGAAATAGACACACGCCTTGAGAGTTCTTTTTCAAGTAGATAATAGAACTTTTGACTCCTAAAATAGATAGATTCAGCAAACTTTTTTTTTAAGTGATAGATTCAGCCGACTTAATTTCGTACAACTTGAAAGCCAGATCGAACTGGATAAATATCTAAACCAAATAAAAAAATCGAAACCATATAGCAAAAATGACTAAAAGCTTTAAGAATAAAATGTCCCAAACTCCAAAGCGTTATATAATGCAAGTAAAATAGCTTATACTGACAATTCAATTGTAAATGAGTTTATAGGATCATATACTGGAAGGCTCAAACTAATCGCTTCGAAGTGTGGGAATAGAGCTAGTAATAAGGAAACACGTGAATGAAAAACATTGAAATTGATCAGATCACACATGATATAATGGTCACCTTCTAGAGCAGAACGACTAAAAGTGAGACAAACGGCTAATAAAGCAGTAGGGAGGAGAGGACATAAATGCACCGACTAACTCACCCGGGGTAAGCATCAAC